TATTTCTAGGACATCATCCTGTGTTCATGATTGCGTGCTATGGACTTTAAAAATGTTTACATACTAGAATAATGAACCCCAAGACCTGTCAATATTGTAGAGTCCCTGGTTAATGATATGTTCTTTCTTCTTATGTGCATTGTGATTCAGATGGGCTGAACCAAATTCTCTTTTGATAATGGTGTGTGATTTGTACCTTGCCTGCTGTATCAAATATGGTGCACAGCCTCAATTTCATAGCAAAAATGCAGTTAGCAAACTTCCCTATTTCCTCATTGCAGACCAAATTTTTAAGAAAAAGTGTTTGTGAGGGGGGAGGAATTGGTTTCTCTGTATGTGCATCAAACTTTTGAGAATATTGCTTTGGGAGTAACAAGCTGTACCTCCTTTTAGCAGTGATGATAGGCTACAAAAGACACATTACTCCTCCAAGGAAATTTTTTTCACTACTTAATCTTAATTTAAGTTGTGAATTGAAAGAATTTTTCAACTGGTGCCCAGGTTAAAAGATCTATTCTGATTCCCAGTTATTTCCAGGCCCAATTTAAAGTTTTGACATTACATTTTAAAACTCTTTAAATGGCTTATGGCCTACTATCCTACTATCCGAGGGACCTTTTTTACCTGGAAGGATTTTAAGGATATTAATGGGAGAAATTATTTTGAAGAAACCCCTGTGTTCAGAAATTTATTTATTGTATGCACAACGAAGGGCCTTCTTCCGTGTATTTGAGGAGTTGTGTTGAGTGAAATTTGTAAGGAAAACAGGCCCGTCTGTTCTCTTGGCAGCAGAACAGTGCTTGGGTCCAGAGAAACTTAAGAGCATGTGAAGAGCTGAGAGACACTGGCATTTTCTCCTCAGTAGCTCTTGTGGCAAAGAATCCTTGTGTTTTGAGAAATGCTTTCACTGTTTTTAGAAAAAAACCCTCAGGCATGCAAATAACTATGTATGATATTTGGTCCTTAGCAGTATTGGAACAAATGTAATTTCTAATGTCAGAAGTCATCTTAGGACATAGTTGAAAATTTTCAAAAGCAGATTTAAAGGGTGATTCTTACTTAGAACATTGATAATTAAAACATGCCCATTGTCATTTTTAGTCCTTGCAGAATAGTTATTATTGATTGTAGTTCCAGCTTGCTTTATAACCACATTTTCTGGATGTTGATCAGGTACATTAAAACATAAAATTCCAAACAAATAATGGTACAACAAAATACATGGATGAAGGTACATTTAAAACAATAGCAAGGGATGGAAGTAATTTGACATATAAAACCAAAACGGGGGGGAAAACAGAAGATGTAAAAGCACCAAAATAATTTTTAACACTGTAAACATTTTGAAGAAAAATATTTTTACCTGGCTTGGAATGAAACATAATTTATATACCTAGTAAATTTCCATATAGAGGTTTTTACAAAAAATAGGATGATTACTTACAACTTTTAACACAGTTTTTTCCCCAAATGACAACGGGATAAAAAGTGATAGTGGAAAATTAAGCTATCTTAATGCCTGTCCTCCTAGGTCAGTGGTTCTCAACCTGTGGGTCGGGACCCCATTTGGGGTTGAACGACCATTTCACGGGGGTCGCCAAACAACGCAGTCCGCCATTTTCCCCCCCCCCCCTTTTCCTTAGCTGTGCTACTCCCTTTTATTCTATTGGCTTTTGAAAGCCAATAGAATAGACTCTCTTGAATAGAGTCTAGTTCTATTGGCTTTCAAAAGCCAATAGGAATTGTCCAGGCTGTCTCTGCCCTGCTGAGCCCACCAAAAGTCCCATTCTGCAAACGGTGCTGCACCAATTGAGTAGTTCTCGACTTACGACCGGTTGGGGGTCCCGGCATTAAAAAGGTTGAGAACCACTGTCCTAGGTGGTGTTATTTTCTTTTCAACATAACACAGTTTGCTCCACACCTATTGTACTAAGGCTTCAAAATTTTGATGCATGCTAGGCTAGACCCAGCCTGCTTGTAAGATGCTTCAGAGCAGAGTTTTCTGGTCCCAGGCATTACAGCATGAAGATAAATTCCCACATATATTGAAACTTGCCTGATCCCTGGTAGAGCCTAATTCTGTAAGTTCTATAAATAATTAATTTGATCTTCAACTTTTCCTTCATTCGATCTTCACATAGACTTCATGATTTTAACTTTAGCTCAGCCTGTTAGTTTCTCTTCCAATATATCCTTACTTAGGGGATCCAGTAAAGTTACTGCCTGACCAAGAATTTTAAGTTTCTTTTTCTTATCAACTAGTTGAGAGTTGAGTTGAGACTCAGTTGAGAGTCTCATCTAATCAACAAAGTTGACTGCCAGAGTAGGTGCTCAGATATTACAATTGATCTGTGTTATTAAGTAAAGAGCTTTATTGTGTTTTCCTGATTTGTTTGTTGGTTATAAGATAATTGGTTATAAGATAATTGTTTAATTTTCACACTTCTCAATATTTTGTTCTGTGCTATTCCTGGGTGGAAACAGACAGAATGAACTTATGTATGAATACTGTCTACTGAGAGAATGGAAATAAGACCAATGTGTCAGCCATCTGTCAGCATCTAGTTTATGATCCAACAACTTTAATCTGTGGAAGATGTTAATGGCGTATTGAAATGGAGTAGTGCCACTTAAACTGTATCTGGGGAGGTCTGTACTTACATGCTGCGTCACACACACATCCATGCTTCAGTTTCTTGCTCTTCTACTTTAATTGTAGTTCTGGCAATGTTTGCAGTTCTCCCATTCCATCTTGAGGAAACAGCCATATTGTAGTTATAAAATGGTCTCTGGAGATCAAAATAGTATATGATACTTTAAAGTTATTGAGTGAAGTGCTCTTGAGAACTTGAATTACAGATAGTTCTCGACTTACAACAATTTGTTTAGTGACCATTTGAAATTACAAGAATATTGAAAAAGTGACTTATGACTGTTTTTCACACTTATGACCATTGTGGTATCCCCTTAGTCATGTGATCAAAATTCAGATTCTTGGCAACTGACTCATGTTTATGATGGTTGCAGTGTCCCAGAGTCATGTGATACCTTTTATAAGCAAAGTGAATGGGGAAACTAGATTCATTTAATAACTATGTTACGAACTTAATAACTGGAATGATTCATTTAACAGTTGTGGCAAGAAAGGTCATAAAATGGAGCAAAACTCACTTAACAAATGTCTTATTTAGCAACAGAAATTTTGAAAAACTATTTTGATTTTTTCAGTTTTGTGTCTGAAACAAGGATCCTGCCTTATTCTTGGTTTGTTTTTGTGTTCTGCCCCTGTGGATTTTGTATGAGTATATGAAAATTGACAAGAAACTCGCTGTAGTTACTTTGTTCCCAAGCAAATCTGGCTTATTGTTGCAGGAAATCAACATTAAAGCAATTTCTGGCTTATTGCAATTTGAGAAAATAAAAATAAAAAAACAGAAATTAATTAGTTCAATCATGAAAAGTCAGTCAAGTTTCTTTTTAAATACTCCCTTACTCTTTGTGCATTTTGTGTGTGCATGCGTTTCTATCTGGCAATCCTTCTATTTAAATGTGTATGTATTAAATGGGGACCCTTTGGCTTAATCTTGGAAACATTCAGTATTTTTATTGAAAAGTGGTAAGGTTGGAAGAAGATGATATTTTAACCAGACATCTAGCAGCTCTTTAGAGTTTTGAGACAATGGAACTTTTAATCAAAATACTCCATTCAACCCTGAATTAATATTTTCTTTTTTGCATCATATTTCTTTCTATTATTTCAGTTCCTGAGGGTTGCGTATTGAAGTGTTATATCTGAAGCAAATATTACAAGATTAGTGTAAAATTTTAGCAGGTCTAATATGTTTAAAGCAGTGGTTCTCAACCTGTGGGTCGGGACCCCATTTGGGGTCGAACGACCATTTCACAGGGGTCGCCAAATAACGCAGTCCGCCATTTTTTCCCCCTTTTCCTTAGCTGTGCTACTTCCTTTTATTCTATTGGCTTTTGAAAGCAAATAGAATAGACTCTCTTGAATAGAGTCTAATTCTATTGGCTTTCAAAAGCCAATAGGAATTGTCCAGGCTGTCTCTGCCCTGCTGAGCCCGCCAAAAGTCCCATTCTGCAAATGGTGCTGCACCAGTTGAGTAGTCCTCGACTTACGACCGGTTGAGTAGTCCTCGACTTACGATCAGTTGGGGGTCGTGGCATTAAAAAGGTTGAGAACCACTGGTTTAAAGGATTGTTGGCTAAAGTCATGTTATTGTGTATGGGTGACATATTATCTTTCTGCCATCTGTTGTTGCAGTTGTAAGTCAAGTCAGACCCAATTATGCAATTTTCCCAATGGTAGTTAAGTGAATTACTGTGGTCATTTCACAAATCACTCAGTTGTTAAGCAAATTCCCCAATGGGTATATTTTCCCAGGGATTGGCAAAAAAGATTACAAATAGTAATCATATGATTGTAGGATCCTGCAACCAGTAGTAAACGCAAGCCAGTTGCCAAGTACTCAAGTTGTGATCACATGACTCTGGGCACCTGTAAATGCAAATACACCTCGTAAGTCACTTTTTCTAAGGCCCTCATGACTTCAGAAGGTCGTTAAATGAACAGATGTTGGTCAAGAACTTACCTGTAAATAATATTAGTTAACAATTTAGGATTTTCATTGTACTATAATGTCTTCTCTTGGACAAATATGTAATATATCACATGATATGCAGTTGCTTTCTGCTGAATTAAGACAAAATAGCTCATCATTTGTTATATAATAAAGGGAAAATATTCCCACTACCTGGGAATTAGGTATTACAAAAGTCATGATTAAAAGGGCATTTTTGGCAAGGCAGTTGGAGTTAGGAACAGTAATTAGATCTTAGAGTTAACATTAAATTTCATTATATGTATTTGCCAAAAGTAAATTCCTCCACATTACTCTTTAGCAAAAAGAGTAGTGTAATACACGTTTGGTACCATTTTTTCCATTTCTCTCTCTCCTTTTTTCCCTCTGTTTCTTTAGTTGAGGAACTGGACAGTTGAAGAACTTCAAAGACGACTTGGGTCACTCGATCCCATGATGGAGCAGGAGATAGAAGAGGTTCGCCAAAGGTATCAGTCAAAGCGGCAACCAATTCTAGAGGCCATTGAAGCAAAGAAAAGACGCCAGCAGAACTTCTGAGGAAAACTTGGCAATAGAATAGATGTCCATCATTCCTTACAATAAACTGTTCTTCTATGACTACTGTGTAGGTGGATTTCTATTTCTATTTGCTATAGCACCTTTTTAAACTCAGGTATGCCATTGAATGGAGTCCTCATGAAGAGATCATGCTTTGTATGAATGGTAGATAGATTCTAAATACATTGCGTGTTGCTTTTGAGAAATCTTGACTTAGCTGAGAGCTAAACTTTGTATTATAAATCCATACAAAAATGGGAAATGGATTTGATTAAGGTTGGTACTCAGATTTTACAGTTTTTACAGTTCAGTTCCAAACAATATATATATAGTATAATTATCAGAATGTATAGTACCGTGGTGGTGAACCTATGGCACGCGTGCCACAGGTGGCACGCAGAGCCCTTTCTGTTGGCACACGTGCCGTCGTCGCACCCGATGATACATAAGTGGGTTTTGGGTTGCAGTTTGGGCACTTGGTCTCTAAAAGGTTTGCCATCACTGGTATAGTACATTTTTGTATGAAAAACCCAAGTAAACAGAATAATTCTGACTTGATTTTCTAAGATGAAGTATAGAAATTCAAATTTTTGCTTTTTCGTTGAACTGTTAAAAATGTGAAATCAGAGTCCTTACATACTAATCTATTATCTAAATTGAGCCAAAAACATTCATTATTGTTGATATGTAGCAACCAACCACTTGATCTTAAACAATGCTTACTTTCATTTTGCCCTATTGGTATAATGAACTTTGGAAATGAGTTTAAAAAAAGAAGTGATTTATTAGCAAGTTTACATATCCTGCTCCAGCATTTGAAAAAGAATATGAACTTTATCTAGTGTAGAAACCTCTAAGAGCTCCATGCTTTTTTATTTCTTTTTTGAAAGTATTACTTTTCAATGTTATATTTTTTCCTTTGTTTTTTATTTTTATTAGAATCATAACTCTGAATGAATGCTAATATATTTTCAGTGATGTCTATCAGTTAAAAAATATAATAAATATTTTATTTTCAGTATTTTTTTCAGAGTTTGTGGTAGCAGAGGAATGTCAGTTCCCCCCAGTTCAGGAAAAATTAGTATCTCTTTTGATCATAAATATTTAAAATAGTTAAGGAACTGTGGACTTTTGTATTATCTGCTACTTCAAGCTGAATTTATTTAAGTTTGTGGTACTAGTTTTGAATTTAAACTGGAGTAAGCATTTCCTTTTATTTGGAAAAATAAACATATCAGTTGGGATCTAAATAAAAATCTTGAGACCCAAATTAATTTCCAAATACCATTTAGTTAAAAAAAAAACACCACCATAATATATCTGTGATAAAACAGTTGCCTCATGAATAGATGTTTTATACAAATCTCAAGGTTGGATTTCTACTAAGGGAAACTTATGGTGGAATGTGTTCCTGACAACTTCAGGTTTCATAAGTGTCCATAGAAATTTTCCTCCTTCCACCTACAACATATACTGTATGCAACTATTGGAACAACCAAACTACAAAGAGGTCTATATAATTAAGTGGAGTTCAGAGTGTGAAAAAGGACTTGAAATTCTTCTAGTCTTGCAACAGCCTCTTGTGCCTAGTACGTTAATCCCCAAAGGTTCTTTTGACCTGCAGAGGATACATAGAAAGGGAGTGGTTGAAATATCATACTTGTGTGTGAAAGACTGTGCCTACAGCTAACAATTCTGATGAATGTCTATAATTTATGACACTGCAGTTTGATAACTTCCCTCAGGAACAAAATGAAAATATATGATTACATCCTTGCTGCTCAAGACCTGGAAACATTTGTTTGATACTTAACGCACCAAATTGCAGATTGTCATATGGATATATGAACTGCGTTTTGTGTTCCCACAGAACAGGGAAGAAGGATCCTGTTTGATCCACAAATTCAAATTTTAAATTTAATTTAAATTTTCATTTCTACAATTTTGTCTACTATCAGGTGGGAAATTGTTGAGTTGGGCCATGCCCTTCTTATTTCTCAGAGAATGATAATTCTAAGTAAGCCATGTTCTTTTCGGTATTGATACTAAGGAAATACTGCTATTGGCTCACTCAAAAACAGTTTGATTGAGTTCTCTTTCTAAAAATTTTACTCCATTAATACCATTGATTCATCCTGGAATTAGAAAACTTAGAAAAGCCAAGATAATTGATCTATTTCAATTAGCAAACCTTTTGTATAAGTTCAAGGCTGAAAAAGGAAGTGTTAAATAATAAACACTGTTCTGTATAAAACAATGTTAGACAGGTACCACAAACAAGCTAAACTTGTCAGTTTCTCTTAGTTAAACAATCAGGTTCACAGAAATTTGCCACGAAGACTAGAAACATTGTAATTTGCTATTCAAATTAATAAAACTGGATGCTCACTGTGCCATTGAATTCTGTATCATGTTTCCCAATTAAATTCTCTTTGCATCTATCTCTTTAGCCTCTAGTCTTATAATTCCCCCTATAGAGTTCTCATTCCTGTATAATTCCACTGCCCAAATAAAATGGGAATATTTTTTTTAGTAAACTATTAAAATAAATAGCTCCTGAATTGAAGACATTTTGTTTTTGGTAATGATGTTCCTGCAAAATGTGACTCGTGCATTTAAAATCCTATGTAAATTGAAAAGATGGTTCTTTGGTTGGACATATTTGCCTTTACAGTATAGTACTGGGTAATCGGTGACTACATTTCAACTAATGGTAAGAAAAGATCTGTGTCTGACAGGACTACATTCTAATCTGTTTTGTGGGTAAAATGTAGAAAAAAACCCAAGGGAATGAAAAAGTGTAGCAATTATAGCAGTCGAGTTACTTCCTCAACTTTGAAAAGTACAAGAATTGAGGATTATGTTCAGAATGCCTATTCTTTGTAGTAACTCCAGCTGAAACAGGAGATTCTGATTCCTATTTTGTAGTCTTTTATAAGAATATATCGCTTCATTTGTCATCTGAGCTGTATTTTCAAAGTATATATACATTCCATTCTCCTGGGTCATATGTACCAACTGAAGTCTTTTGAGTAAACTGTCACCTTTTTCTTTTTCAGTCTTAAATCCACTGTCTAGTTTTAGTTCTGTGAGAAATTAAATGTGAAGCCAGTAGCTTTAATGTTTTGTAATAAGAGTTACTCCACTGTAATTTGAATTTCTCTTTTTTTAGAGATCTGGTTGTTTTGTATATAATTGTTTAAATCCTTAGTTTGTACATGAATAAAGATAATTTTTTATCTTATTTAGCTAAATGCAGGAAACTTTTTTTGGATTTAAATATTTGTTTTATAGGAAAATAATAAACTATTCTGCTTATTATAAAATATTGTCTTTTTCTGTCAATCTAACTTTGTTGAATTACATGTTACACTGAACCACCAACTAACCATGAAATCTAAGTTCATTCAACATAGCAGAAAATAAAATTGAGTAATTTTAGTTGTACTAGATGTGGGCACAGCCTATATTCACTTGAAGCATGCTTTCATAGGTCACTGTCCCAGTTTCCTTCACTGATGAGCAAAATGCATCAGCAATCTTTGCTTGCCATTTGTCTTTATGATTCACAGGTCAAAATGTAACTTTTGGAGAACTCTTATTTTAGCAGGGATTGTATATTTTTAAATCTCTTGATTAATGTGCATCGATGAACAAAATCCTGTAGAATACATAAAAGACAGCAATAGGAAATAATTACATTGGAGGTTTTCAATCATTTGCCAACCTTGCTGGGTTTTTTTTTTTAAAAATGCAAACTATAAAAAAGCCTTTTACAGCTGCAGGTTGTACTTTTTTGCTGCCATACTTTGGTAGCACATAGACTGTGGGCTTTCCTTTCTAATTAAGAGGTGCAAAGCATGTGATAAGATTGGCCATAGTCTCTTCCTGAATAAAACGGAATAACGGGATGGATGGTCCCACTATCAGATGGATTCACAGTTAAATAACTACAGTAGTGGCCAAAATTGTGGAAACCTTTTGGGAAAAATGTATTTTTGAGGTTTGATGGCTAATAACACTACTTTTTTGGGGGGAGTAGTACCATAAAATTATATATCAATGGAAAGATAATTTAATCAAAAATGTAATGCAACAAAGTTTGTTCAATTATCTGTACTGTATTCTATGAAAAGTTATAGCCAAATAACCAGAAAAAGGAAGCACAACTTGCTTAGGTTGATATCAGGTAGCTTTCCTTCATCTGATTGTAGCCAATGAGCATTAGTGTTTAGAGTGCCAGTCAGGTGTCATCTTGTTTTGGCAATGAGCCAATCAGATCACAGTGGGATTCCGTTATTGATGTCATGTATTGAAGCTGAGAGGAGGACATTTGTCAATGTGTTATGTGATTACTATCAAGTTGGTTGGGTCTTTTTTTGTGTTCTTTCATTTAGTGAGCTTGAAAAACATAATAAAATTAAAGTAATGGTGCAAAGAGTTGACTGGTTTCCCAGAAAGCGATGTAAAATAGTACTATTAAGCGAACAAGGCTATAGTTATAAAGAAATTAGAAGAAAAATTGATAGAAACTTAACCAAAGTTGGCATTTCTACTGTATACTTTTCCCAAAATGTTTCCACAATTTTGGCCATTACTGTATTTGAAAAAAGGGACTTGCAATCCAGGTCTGAAGTTCCTATGGCCATTTCCCGTCTCTCTCATGTGACAGAACTTTAGGAACTTAGCAATGTGGCTGTGTTTATGGCTGCTTGTAGCCTCTCATGGTCACATGAAGCATTTTGCAATGGTTTTGTTGAAAACCATCACTTCTAGTTTTCAGCAAAACTGTGCCATAGTGATAACAGTTTGTTTAATGACTGCGCATTTGCTTAACAACCAGAAAATGTTGTGAAATGACATGATGTCTTAGACTGTAATGGGAAGGCTCCATTACGGTTGTAACTCAAGGACTACCTGTATTTTGGTTCAGCTTTCTCCAAAAGAAAGTGAGTGTTCCACTTGACATTGTGAGGATCAGAATGAAGGGGTGAGACTAACGTTTGAAATCAGTAAGTCTCTTTTTTAAAAAAAATTCTCCTTAATACATTCTGGGAATTTTTCAGATGAACTACATTGAGGCTCAATTCAAGGGAAGCTTTATCTTTCCTTTTATTGTTGGAATAACAATACTTATATGTATAAAGTAAATCTTAAATCAAGAACTCCTAAAGTATTTAATCTTAATAAAACATAATAATAAAAGCTTAAGCAACACATAAAGGCACTCCAGGCACAGTTGGAAGCATATACAACTTCCTAGTTCAGGGCTTTTCAACCAGGTACCACCTGTGGTACATTGGCACCTGGCTGGTGGTACACGACCATCCTAGAAAAATGGTAGCGGGGGAGGGAAATGAGCTGAACCGGTGGCAGCACCGCACAAGCCTGAGCAAGAGATGGCTGGAGTTGCAGGGATATCAGGGCTCAGCGGAAACACCAGGATCAATGCCACTTTCCAGTTGATTGGCACTTCTTTGGGGCTTTCAGGGCTCAGTGGAAGCACCAGGATCAGCGCCAGGCTCCAGTTGGAGCTCGGCACTGATCCTAGTACTTCTGCTGAGCCCTGAAGAAGCACCAATCAGCTGGAATGTTGCATCCTCTCCAGGGTCTTGTGATTTACATTCAGATGCTTGGCAACTGATTCATATTTATGACGGTTACAATGTCCCAGGGTCATGTGAAGTGACCAAAACCTGCTGCAACCACCCAGCAGACGGGGGGAATAAAAACCAAGCACCCCCACCCCACCCCCACTGCCAATCCTCAACAGAAATGCTCAGAACAATGAAAACCTCGGACAAGAGGAAGAGCGCGGCTGGGCGGGCAGGCATGTGTCTTGCTTGGCTGCGGCTTGGGGGGCACTTTTTTCAGTGCCATTGTAGCTTCAAACAGTCATTAAGTGAACTGTTGTAAGTCAAGGACTACCTGTACTTTAATCACTTTTTTCCTTTTTTTTTTGACACCTTGCTAGGCTACTGGTGGTACTCAGATAGTGCCATATCCTACAAGTGGTACAATGGGTGAAAAGGTTGAAAAGCCCTGTCCTAGTTGTTAAAATATATGATGGCATTCTCTGGAACTGATTTCCCAAGAGTTATGCCACGGTGCTATCATTATTCACAGGCAGTCTTTGGTCTGTTTTCAGCGCTGGACCAATTCTGAGATTTTCTATAAGTAACATTACTTTTTCATGTAAATTTTATCATGGTTCATGGCTTTGGGTACTGTTTAATTGAAAAGTGACTTGTCTCATAGATATTATAAATAAATAAATGTGTTATGGCTGGCAGTTTCCATTTCACACAGAATTTTGTACTTTCATCTTTGTACAGTCACAGTGTTGGTCTCTTTCAGATTTTAGCTGAAGAGATGCACTGAGATGTAGAGCCCTTGTACTAATCTGTCTTCTCTACTCCTCCTGCATAGTAATAAATAGTATTCATTATAATTATTCAACTCTCTAATAATCAGTAATTTACTAGAATCACAGGACTAAAGTCACAAATGTAATGAAAGTTAAGAAGAAAAACTTTAGAAAATAAGGCTGTTATATTAATAATTGGAATAATAGGTAACGGATAACATAAGATGAAATGCTGTACTATTTGTAGGAGAAAAAACTCGTTAGTACAGAATTTGACCACTGAAAGATTATTTATTTATAAGGTGATCTGATGTTTAGTGATTATAAACATCCATAAAACATGGCATCTTGTGTATCAAAATAAAATA